GAATATTTATATATATAAATACAAAGGTAGTTGTTTTAAATACAAAACACGAGCTAAATAAACTAAAGAAAATTTGAGGATTTTGGAAAAACTAAACTTAAAATTAAAAGAACTTTGAGAAATTGAGAAACAAATGCTGTAACGAATGATATTATGAAAATCCGCCTCATTACAATCAAATGTTAAATATGTTAATTTTATGTACTATATACTATACATATGTATTTATATGTATACGATTATAAATGGCTATTTTGAAATACATACTTCTCTATAGAAAGAACAACAAAACCCAGAAACTAAAAACAAATTCAATGTCTAGTTAAATATATATATATATCAATAAATATATATATATATAATTGCAGAAATGTACCTAAGATGAAATTTTGATTTTGAACTTGATATGAATTAACCTATATAGTAAATATATATATACATAAATATATATATATTAATTAACGTTAATGATTCAAACTGTCTTAGATATTGTTACTATAAAATATTCAATGGATATGTTTCAAATTGAATTTTCTAATTCTTATTATTATTAAACTCTAGCTCTTATGTACAGCACATTTATGAAAAATTTTGGGTAACTTTGATGGAAAACCAAAAAGAATATATTAATAATGATGTACAATGTGCACTTAAGTTATGTTTGCTGAGCTACAAATTTAACCAACGGCTCCAAAATATATATCTAAATTATACTAACTATAAATAGACACACATGTACAAGTATTATACACAAGGCGCATACCATTTAACATTAACAAATAAACATAAACACATGCCACATGTATTACATAAACAAATCCAAGAACTCATGTAATATGTATGTTTAAATAAAAGTTACAAAAATCGAGTGGACGCACATGGTGGATGGGGCTTAATACGTTCGTTTATTAATTATATTATTTATCAAGTATATCAATTGATTAGACAATCTCCAGCATCGGCTAGGTTTGGTCGGCATCCGTTTTGGGCTTTTTGGCCGCTGGCGCTGCCTCTGCGGCCGGCAGCTTCTCGGAGAATATGGCCTGGGGCTGGGTTTGCTTGTAGGCGGGCGCAATCCAATAGGGATTCTCGGCCGCATCCTTGGCATACTTGAGGATGGCCTCGCGAGGATCCTGGTCGTCGTCGACGCGCTTGCTCAGGCCCAGATTGCGTATGACATAGGAGGAGAGTGTGCCGCCCGAGCTGGCGACGCGGCCGCCTTGGCCGCTGGTAATGGGTAAGTCGGGCCGCTTCGATTTGACCGGATCCATGCGCGCCTTTTCCATCTTTTTGCGCGAGGAGCGTGTCTTCTCTTGGCGGAACAGCGGCAGGGCATGCGGTGTTATAATCTGCGACACGCCCACCATTTCCATTTGTTGCCTCTTGCGATGCGTCTTCACCACGCACAGCTTGGCGCCGCGTATGCTGCGCTGTTCGTCGTAGAGGCACTTGATGATGCCATTGCCGCAGCTGACGAAGAGCTGATTCAGCTTGGGATGCCACAGCGTTTTGATGACATGCGAACTGGTCACGGGTATGCGTTGCACCTCCTCAAAGCTCTGGGTGCTATAGAAGTAAAGATTCGCCTCCTTTTGCTCCTTGGGCAGCGACTCGCCTGTGACCAGCAAGCGATCATCCGGACTGAAGCAGCAGTCGGTCGTGTCGTAGCGTGAGAAAAGATTCGACCAAGTGTGCATCGGCTGCTTGAAGTTCCTCAGGTCCCAGAGCTTCATCGTCTCGTCATTGCTGCGCGTCGCCAGCTGCTGGCCCATGTATGAGAACACAATGGACGTAATCTCGGAGCCCTTCTGATGTGCTGTTCGGACGCAGTGCGTCGTATTTACGAACATCTTTCGCGTGTCCCAGGTCTGTATGGAGCCATCCACGCAGCCAGCGGCGATGAGAGTTGCATCCCGATTGAAATTACAGGCGGATGCATTGGTTCTTAGACCGCCCTGAGCTCGCGTCTTAATCACCTGCATCTGCTCCTTGGCGCGTAATCCCTGCCAGATGCGCAGAGTACCGTCCAGAGCTGCGGTCAGAAACTGTTCCCTGTTGAATGGATGCCAGCAGCCAGAGGTTAGCTGAGCCACGTGGCCCTTTGTACGAGTCATGTCGCTTATATATTGATCTCCCTTGCAGCATTCCAGTTTCTCGAAGCCGTCTCGGTCGAGGATTTTGGCCTGTGCATTGCCCGATATAACGAGGATCATGTCGCCGGTGACGGAGTATTGAAGGCCTCGTATGGGATGATTCTCACAGGGCTGCAGTTGACGGAAGCTTCGCATGGAGGAATCCATGCCAACAAAGTCCCAGAAACACATATCATAGTCAATGGAGCCCGACACAAGTCGAGCGCCGGATGGATCTCCAGCAAGTGCCAAGACGGCTCGTGATCCGTGCTGCATTTGCACCTCATGTGTGTAGGGTATGCGACGTATTAGGCTGTCATCATCGTCTTCATCGGAATCGCCATCGTCATCGTCGTTATCATCCTCATCGTCTGCCTGTTTTTTCTTATCATTAGCATCTTTTTTCGAGTTGGCCTCTGGCTTGTCCTGCTGTGGTTGGCCCTCCGTGTCTGCTGTTGGTGGCAGCGGACCAATCACATCCTCGTCATCCTCATTCGGTTCTTGTTCCTTCACGCGAGGCGCAGCAGTGCGCGCTTTGGCGATCTGTTCATTGATGTCGAAGACTTTCGCTGCCTTG